TCTGAGAAATGCAAAGAAATCGAAGTACTTCAAGAAAAACATGACGCGTTCAATGTGCACAAAAAAGTAAAAGAAATGACAAATCGTGCCCGAAGACATCAAGTTCTAACCCTACGAGATGCTAACAACGAAATAATCACGGAAGTGGAAACAAAACTGCAAGTATGGAAGAGATACGTGGAGGAGCTCTTTGATGACGACAGACCAAATACGCCGCCGCAAGTAGACAAAAACATAAATGAGTGCGGCCCAGAAATTACCAAGGACGAGGCTGTCCACGCAATAAAAGCTCAGAAAAGCGGAAAAGCCACTGGCCCAGACAGCGTATATGCTGAAGTCATCAAACTAATAGCCGACCGAGAAGGTAAGAGACTAGATCTACTGCTCGCATTTTTCAATGCAATTTATAGATCAGGTAATATCCCTTCCGACTGGTTAAAATCAACATTTATTACTCTGCCTAAAAAGACTCAGGCCTCACGCTGTGATGACTATCGCATGATTAGTCTCATGTCTCATGTTCTAAAAATATTCTATAGAATAATTTACACCCGAATCTTCAGGAAATGCGAATACCAGCTGAATGAAACCCAATTCGGATTCAGGAATAGTCTTGGCACCCGCAAAGCGTTGTTCTCCTTGAATGTACTAACACAAAGATGCAGAGACATGAACATCAATGTATTTGCATGCTTCATTGACTATAGAAAAGCATTCGACTGCGCCAAACATCATAAGATGATAAAGATCCTCAGAGCGACTGGGATCGATAGAGAAGAAATACGCTTAATTTCAAACCTCTACTGGCAACAAATCGCAGAAGTTAGACTGGAATCAGCAGAGTGCGACAGGGATGTGTCTTATCACCACTACTATTCAATATATACTTGGAGGCTATTTTCAAAGAAGCTTTAGAGGGAATTACTGGTGAAATCAGGATTAATGGCAGGACGATTAACAATATCAGATATGCTGACGATACCGTTGTCTTAGCAGAGAACATGCATGACCTTGTAACGATGCGCCCCTTACGTCAAGGCATCGTCCCCGGCCGCCACCCGCCGGATGCCGCCCGACCAATTCTCCGTCGGGCGAGGACAGGGCGCGGTGCGCCCACAATTCTTTTAATCTTTTGAAACGCACCGTGTGCGCGGGAAATCCGCCGCACCGGTGCCTTCCCGCACGACGCCGACGAGCGCCGAAGCGAGCCGATCCCCGCCGAAGCGAGCACGCGGGATCGCGCCGCTCCCACCACCGCGCCATTGTCTGACGATCGGCCTCCCTCCCGCCAAGTTCGCCGCGCCGAGCGGTATAAAAAGCCGGCGCGCTCGACGAAGAGACACTTCGTCTCTACCACGGCTCTCCGCTACTTCTGACGAAGCCTACCTTCCGAATTCTAGGGCGACACGCAAAACGAGGTCCAGAGTTCTGGTTCTCTACTGAGGGTTCTCAGAGTGTCTCCGAGTTCCCTCACACTTACCCCGACGGCCACGGCACCGCGGGGTCGAGCGTGCTCGGCCTCGTAGCGAGGGTTCTCGCGACCGGAACCCCGGGAGTCCGCCATCCTCCGGTGTACATATCGCGCTCCCGCCCACGTTATCAGCCTTCTCGATATACCGCACCGGGTGCACCCGCACCACGGTGCCGCGCCGCGACCGTAGAGTACTGTACTTCCGTTCGTATATCATATACCGCGTTTCAGTATTTCAGTGCACCGGCACTGTCGATAATTCGTATATGATATCTGTAACTGCGTTCCGTTCGTATATCATATACCGCGTTTCAGTATTTCCTGTATGCCGCCCCGTGCACCGGCACTGTCGATCAATATTCGTAAATGATATCTGTAACCGCGTTCCGTTCGTTTGTAATATACCGCGCTTCGTTATGTTCTCGTAATCTACCGCGATAAACTCCGTTTGTATGTAATATACCGCGCTTCGTTATTTTCTCGTAATATACTGCGACGAACTCCGTTCGTATGTAATATACCGCGTTTCGCTATTTTCTTATACTGCGACGAACTCCGTTCGTATGTAATATACCGCGCTTCGTTATGTTCTACTGCGATGAACTCCGTTCGTATATAATATACCGCGCTTCGTTATCTCCATACTGCGACGAACTCCGTTCGTATGTAATATACCGCGCTTCGTTATTTTCTTACACTGCGACGAACTCCGTATGGGCTTCGTTATTTTCTTGTAATATACTTTGTATACCGCATCTCGAGTGGAATAAAGTAAAGGAATACGTGTGTATCGCAAACTGACTACTGTCTCTGGGCCTTTCATCGAACTCCCGATCCAGTAAACTAGGCCGCGTTCGATATAAAGTCAGGCCGTTACAACCTGCAAAACATGATGGACCGCATAGTTTGACACAGTGAAAGCTTTCGCCTCTTCACGAATACTACGAAAACCAAAACCATGGTTTTCTCTAAAACACATGTGCGTGCACATCATTATTAAGGCTCCTGGATGGTCAGCCGAGAATTTTGCGTTGACGGTGGCGATGTACCGTCGCGGCAGAAATCAGAACTCTCTCCTCTCACTCTCTCCAATGGAGAATTCTGTCTTGTGACATGTTGACAACCTATTTTGTTGTGCGTGCTATTTCTTTATTATTCGCTCTGTGCTTGTGCTCTAACGTTTAACGTATTCGTGAAAGTCGTAAAATTGGCCGAAAAGTAAGATTTGCATGCGGAAGGAACGTTTTCACTTCCTTTCGATAGTCGTTAAACGGCTGTTTTTCCCGTATGTTTAGGCTTCGTTTTATGGCTGTTTGTTTATTATCGAGGGAAAAGGGTAGTTTTTGGCCAATTTCGGAAATGTTCTGAAACGATCTATAATGATGTTTTATTGAAATGTCTTTTTATTTGAAAATGGCATGCACAACAAAATTGAGTGTTTTCTTCGCCTCGATAGTAAGAATCCAATATGGCCGCGGTAACCATCCAGGAGCCTTAAGGGGGCAACTGTGGAACAAGTCTCGTCCTTCAAATATCTTGGAACCATCATGACCAGTCTATATGACCCTAAGAAAGAGATCAGATCAAGAATCGAGCAGGCTAGAAGAACATTTACGAATATGAAGACGTTCTTTACGAGATCGGATCTAAGTTTGGACCTCAGGGTCGGTATGATCAGATGCTACATATTCTCTACCCTGTTATACGGTTGCGAAAGCTGGACTCTTGACCCAAATACGGAAAAAAAATAGATGCTTTCGAGATGTATCTGTACCGTCGTATGTTGCGCATATCATGGGTAAATAAAATAACCAATGAGGAAGTCCTCAGCCGTATGCATAAGCAGAAGGAACTCATGTTGACAATCAGGGAGAGAAAGACGAGATATATAGGACACCTGATGCGAGAAGAAAGATACGAACTCATACGACTGATCATCCAAGGCAAGATTCAAGGGAAGAGATCGACAGGCGCCAAAATTTCTGGCTGAAAGACATTAGAAGATGGTTTGGCTGTACTTCAGTGGACATCTTTCGCATGGCCGTATCTAAGACTATGTTAGCCATTTGGATCGCCAACTTTCGAAAGGAGACGGCGTCATAAAAAAGAAGAATAAGCGAAGAAATGACTAAAAAACAACCGCCGTCATCAGCAATCTGTCTCGCGGTGACTAACGAAATGCTACTGCGACAGATAGAAAGGTTTTGGCTTCAAGAAAAGATACCAAGAACTCCACAACTGTCGGAAGAAGAGAAGGAGTGTGAGAAGCTGTATGAGACCACATACAAGAGGGACGCGACGAGAATGTTTATCGTGCGCTTACCTACTTCGCCTAACGTAACACTCGGAGATTCCAGAGAGTTTGCTTTCAAACGCCTCATTTAAAAAGATTTAAAAAAGAAATATTGCAAGTTCATGCAGGACTATATCGATCAAGGACACATGACACAGGTTGAAGACAAAGTTCTGAAATTGGAGCACTACATACTGCCGCACCAGGCTGTCGTGCGTCCGGATAGCGTAACGACGAAATTACGCGTAGTATTCGACGCCTCTGCAAAAACGACCATGAATACTTCTTTGAACGACAAGTTGATTGCAGGACCAAATCTACAGGGAGATTTGATCCTAATAATTCTTCGGTTCAGGACACATGAATACGTTGCAACAGCGGATATAGAGTCGATGTTTAGGCAGATTCTAGTTAAAGAAAAGGATCGACCGTTGCAATTGATACTTTGGCGAAGAAATCCAGAGGATCCCGTGATGATATTTCGATTGAACACTGTGACGTACGGAACGACCTGTGCGCCATTCTTAGCAATCAAAACGCTGAGAAAACTGGCCGAGGACAACGGAATGGACTTGCTGGCGGTGCTCGCGCTTTTGAAAGACACCTATATGGATGACGTTACCAGCAGAGCTAAGACATTAGAAAAGGCGATTGAATTACAACGACAGCTTACTCAATTGTTGGAACGAGGCCGATTCCACTTGCGTAAGTGGCGTTTCAACGTCCCAAGAGTTTTGGCGCATCTCGCAGAGCAGAGCAAGACCGAAAAACTATTAATTATAGATAAGGAACAGCTCTCAAAACGCTAGGTCTTCTGTGGGATGCAAGAAGGGACCGTCTACAGTATCAGATCAAAATGGAAGAAAGCCAAATTGTGACAAAACGACTTATTTTGTCAAAAATAGCGCAAGTGTTCGACTCATTGGGACTCATCGCCCCGCTGTTGATCAAAGGGAAGATAATAATGCAGCGTCTATGGTTGTTCGATCTAGATTGGGATCAGGAGATTCCGGAGGAGCTCGTACCTGCATGGGAAGACTATAATCAGGCTCTAGCAAAGATTGGTAATCTACAGATACCACGAAACGTCAATCCAAGGAACGCGTCCGATAAGTTCGACATATTCGGATTCGGGAACGCCTCGGAGAAGGCTTACGGCGCGGCGCCTGCTTGTACGCAGTAAGCCGGGATAAAAATGAAGTTATCAGTTCACATCTCATATGCGCCAAAACAAAGATGGCACCGCTCAAAACAATATCGATACCGTTTTTGGAGCTCGAAGCAGCGCTTCTTCTCATAAAACTATATGCCTTCGCGAAAGACGCGTACGGCAACAGGATCAACGACGTTAAACTAAAAAACGACAGCCAGATAGTGCTTGCTTGGATTCGAGCGAGACCACACGAACTAAAGACTTTTGTTGCGAACCGCGTAACCAAGATTCAGAACATAACCGAAAACATCGATTGGGGTCACGTGCCGACGGATGAGAACCCAGCCGATCTGTTATCAAAAGGTACCACCGCGGACGTGCTAGAGAAGAGTAAGCTCTGGTGGCATGGGCCTCCCTGGATTGTAATTAAGAGTCAAGAACCGGAACATGTGAAAGAACCGGAAGTCGAACTTCTAGAACGGAAACCCGCAGCAGTCACACTGACGACTATCGAGACACTGGATTTGTGAGCGAGGTTTTTGACGTACCAAAAGTTTCAACGGGTGATTGCTTGCTGTCACCAGTTCAAGACCAGGGCTCTTGATAAGCAGCAAGTAAGCGCAATCAAAATCAAAGATCTGGAAAGGGCAGACCAGACGATCCTAAGGAAAGTGCAACAGGAAGCGTTTTCCGAGGAACTCACCGACCTAAGGCGAAAGCGAAGATTGTCGCGAAAAAGCAAATTGCAATCTCTAGATCCTTTCATAGATGAAGAGGGTTTGATAAGAGTAGGTGGAAGACTTCGACACGCGAGTGTGCCAGCAAATCAGAAGCATCCTATCGTATTACCAGCAAAGCATCGAGTAACCAGTCTGATCATGCAAGAAGAACACTCGCGTCTGCTTCATTGTCCCCCTGAGCATCTCTTTAATGCAGTGCGACAACGTTACTGGCCTTTAATCGGTCGCAGAGAAACCCGCAAAACAGTTAAAGGCTGTCTAAACTGCTTTCGATTTCGACCAACAGTACCAGGCATAAAAATGGGAGATCTTTCTAAACAAAGAGTGATCAGCTTCGACAGACCGTTCAGAAGTACTGGTATGGATTACGCGGGCCCCCTTCAGCTCCGCGAGAGTCGACGCAGAGAGAAACTTCACCTTTCAAAGGAATATATAGCGATCTTCACCTGCCTAAGCACTAAGGCGGTGCACATTGAACTTGTCTCGGATATGACAACAGAAGCATTCCTGGCGGCTTTGAATCGTTTTACGGCTCGTCGTGGAATTTGTTCGGAGATATTTTCGGACAACGGGACAAATTTCGTAGGAGCATCCGAAGAATTAAAAGAGGTATACACGTTTCTAGAAAAGGAGAGCTCGGAAATAGGACGCAGCTTGGCTAATCAACGGATAAAATGGAGCTTTATTCCCCCACGCGCTCCATACTTCGGAGGTATTTGGGAGGCGGCAGTCAAGGTCACTAAACGGCATTTATACACGGTAACCCAAGGAAGAGTACTTGCATACGAGGAATGCAGTACACTACTGTCTCTAGTTGAAGCGATAATGAATCGCGGCCCCTCACACCGCTATCCAGCGATCCAAATGATTTTTCTGTTTTAACATCTTCTCATTTTTTGATAGGTGATTTACTTATACAGCCAGCACAATATGATTACGCTGAGGTTCCAGAGAATCATCTCACCCGTTGGCAAAACCTGCAAAAATTGCACCAGCAGTTTTGGATCCGCTGGCACAGAGAATACCTGAACGAATTGCAGCAGCGAACAAAATGGTCTGATATGGGAGACAACATCAAATTGAATACCGTGGTTCTGATAAAAGAGGACCACCTCCCTCCACTACAATGGGCTCTGGGTAGAGTCACAGCCTTGCATCCTGGACAAGACGGTGTGGTGCGAGTGATCACCGTAAAGACAAAGAGCGGTGACTTTAAAAGGCCAGTCAAAAAGCTTTGTCCACTACCAAGTGCAGACAACAAGAACTAAATAAACTTGTATTAATATATTTAAGGACATTTAGTAGTTAGCTACTAAGATAAGAAACTTATATTAGTATTAAGACATTTATTAGCAGATTTTGAGTTACATTTATTTAACGATTTATAGCATTTAGTTGATTTAGTTTACATACAGGCAATAATCTTGCAGTTTGATTTAATTTTGATAGTTCTAAGATCAATATTTACTACAATAACATCTAAATTGTTTAACGCAGATTTTGTTGAAAGATAGTCCTTTCAAGGGGGCGACAGATGTTCGCGAGAGTTTGTTCAATTTGCGCAGAGTGCAGGAAGTCGAGGCTAGAGTGTAGGGAGTCGAGGCTATAGTGTAGGGAGTCGAGGCTAGAGTATAGGAAAGAAGGACAGAATAGTAATAATGGCGGAAGAGCATGTAACGAAAGCGCGCGAAGTCTGTGCAATAAAGCGAATTATAGATTGATATCCATTGTGAGTGCATTCATTACCATCCAAAAACAGTATACATCTCTCAATATATGTATACATATATACATATGTGGATCGGTACGAAAGTAATGCCTTTTAATTTTTTTTCTTTCAAATCTGGCGCCATAGAAAATTTTGCATTTTACTAAGTTGTTACTTGAAATCTCTAGTTATGTTATGTTGAGTAGTGTTGTGATCAGTTTATGTTTGTGTGTCACACGAATAATTCAAACTGGTGTGTATTTTAAATACGCGTAACAGACAAGGTCGGTGATTGAATTTCTTACCGTGGAAGAAATGAGTCCCATTGAAATCTATTTGTATTTCAGAAACGGTGTTATCATAAACATTTCTGAGACGCGAATGAATTTCAATGGCTGCGCGCGTGCAGCAGAAAGAGCAATTTAGCGAGCAATCAGTAATTTTTTTAAATGGTTGGACCTTGCCTTTAGTTCTTCCCTGGATCCAAGTGTAGAAAGCAATCATAATAAAGAATCATTGAGCGCGCATTGAACTGCTTTCTCCGCTGAACGCAGCCATTGGAACTCACTTCTTCCACGATAAGAAATTTAACCACCGCCCTTGTCTGTTACGCGCATCTGAAACACACACCAGTTTAAACTGCCCGTGTAACACACTCTCGTAAATGATCACAATACCACTCAACATAACTCGCAACTAGAGACTTCAAATAACAACTCATTGAAACGCAAAATTTTCTATGGCGCCAGATTCGAAAGAAAAATATTAGGAGGCATATTACTTTCGTACTGACCCTCGTATATACATACACGTATATAACATTTATATACACAGAAAAATTAAATGATTACTTGTTTTATCGAAAAAACATGTTTGACTTTGACAAAAATTTTATCACAAATATTTTTACTAAAACTACACAGCCCGTTGAAATTTGTTTATTGTTCGTGAATGAGAAAATGTAATCCTTTAATTTTTATGTTTAATATATTAAACAATTAATTTGTTTCAATAAAAGTACCAAGACGAGCGAACTGCAGGTTTATAATTGAATTGAGACATAATTGTGCAGCCCCAATTATCGCATCTTCACATTTGCCCGATATGATATAATGATAACCAACAGCCATGGCATAAAGACTAGAGCTGCAAGCTGAATCGATTGTATACGATGGTCCCTTCAGATCCAAATGGTACGAAATCATGTTTGCTGTTGTAGATCTGGTACATCCAATAAGATTCAGACCATCCATCTAATTGCAGAAAGTTAACGATTACAAATTCTCGCACACAAATGATAAATTCAATAATTTCTTCTATTACATTTATCAATTAATAATTTTCTCTACCTCAAGATCCTCATACAAAAATTTAGCTTGCGTTTCAGAAAAAGATGCCGCTATGATCACGGCAGTATTCTTTCCTCGCAATTGCTTCGGATTAATCCCCGCGTCGATAATTGCCTCATAAGAATGTTCCAGTAATATTCTCGCCTCAAGTCCGAGTGTGTGCGCTTGCTCGAAAGATAATCCGAAGAAATCCGCATCAAACTTGTTCAAATTATTAACTATTCCCATACGGTTTGGTACGCGCGCGTCTGGATGATCTAACAAAATATATAATTTCACGCAAAAGCATTACGCTCCTTGTTCACTTCTTAATAAAATTTTAGTTTAAAATACATGTCCTTAACATATAACCACTAATAATAATTATTGCAGAAGGACCATGGCATATCCTATATCCACCAATCAAGCATAAATGCAGAATTATCCTTGGTATATGAATTAATCACCTCTCTTCCATCGTCCATGATCAGCTCTAACAAGATCTTTTTTATTAAATAGATTTTCTCGTAATTGATTCATATTATCTGAATCCGGAAATCTACCAGCAATACCAGAAATAACGATCTCCTCGCCAGAGTCAATACCGTTCCAGGAGCTACATGCTTCTATGCCATTCATGATTTCGATTGTTTTCTTTGGATAATCTAGAAAAATGCTACGTGTATTTTACATACTTATTTCTTTTTTACATATTATATCATACCTGTCTTAATGTTCATAGTATCACTATGATATCAATTAAGGTTGGCGAAGAAATGAAAAATTCGTATAAAACTTACCTTTTTTAAAATAAGGTAAAGAATAAGCCAAGTGTACGTGTACAAAATCTTTATTTTAAACAATTTTGATCTAATTTGGTCTTATAATTCTATAATATGTATATTTTTTACTACAAAAAACAATGATATCAGAATAAGGTGCTAAGTAAATATTATAAATTAGTAACATTTGATTTTCTTAATCATGTTTTTTTATTATACTTGTTGCGTATATGTTCTGTTTTTTTTTTTTACTGTTTATTATTAGATTTACACACAAATATACTTGGCGTACGTGCCTTTCTTATGTTACTGGTGTACAGCAACATAGCATATGCTACAAACATATTTGTGGCATAAAAAAGGTACGTTGAGTGTTTTTTGTGTGTGTAAATAATAAAAAAATATAAAATAAATAATAAAAAAATAAAACAGGTACACACAATAAGTATAATAAAAAAAACTTTGATTAAGAAAATCAGAAATTACTAATTTATCATATTTATTTGGCGCAAACCTGCAATATCAATACTTTTGTAGTAAAAAATACGAGCGGTATTATAAGCTCAAATTAAGTCAAAATTTTTTTCAATAAAAATTTTGTATAGAGCGCGTACACTTGGCGCATTTTTTTACTTTCTTTTTGAAAAAGATAAGTTTTGTACGAATATCACTCTCTTGTCACAAGTACATGTGGAAATCGTAAAAATATAAATTCTTTGATATCAAGAGACACGGTAGTGTCTCGCGCCAAGTATACGTGAAGCGAGACCGCACCGTGGATCATTTACGCGACCCGACGAGTTGCAAGTACCCGAGATTTTGAGATCTTGATAACCAGAACGGATCAAGTTCTAACTAGGCTTAATGGATAGCTTGGACCAAGCTTATATAATAAAAGTGTCTTTATTTTTCCGTTACGTGCCCTACAAGCGGAGATATTGCAATGCAAAATCCAAAAGTGGAAATTTTTATTTAAGAAACGTCCACGTTGTCGTTGTCGGACAAAAATGGCGGCTTGTGTGTCACTTTCCCATTTTTGACAGAGGGCATTGATGCCCGTGCAGACCTAGAAATCCTTTACTAGAGACTGGTCAACTTTAAGAATGTGACCACAAAATGGCGGCGAAGTCGTATGTGTGTGTGCGTAAATACGTGAACTCGATATATGTGTGCGTGTTTGTTTATCGCTGTCATCTGTTGCGCGTGAATTCTGCGCTACTACGTCGTGTAAGTAATATGATTTTTTTCATTCTAATAACAATATGTAACATCTTATTAATTGAAATATAAGAAAGTAATATGTTTAATGTGTCTGCAATAAATATAACTAATATTTATTTTGGAAAAACTAATCTGTATATAATAAATATAAAAAATAAAATAATATATTGTCACGACTTTTTGCACTCCCGGAGCGGTCCGGGGCGTGTGCCGGATCAAAAGGGGAAAAGGAGAGAAAGGTAACAGGCCTCTCCAGTGATTCTCTCGCACTTCCGACACTCCGCAAAACGATCTTAAGGTTGGGCGCCAGACGCGTAGATTCGCATCCGCGAAATCGCTAAGAACCAAAAGAGAGACGCAAAACGGACGAAGTCGGTGTGCGAGGCAATTGCTAGCTCAGCCTAATAGCGGGGCGGGATTAATGAAGGGCAGCGCGATATCCGGCGGGGTGACACGGAAATCATAACTTCAATCAGCTAACAAATAAGGAGTAACATTTATTGTGTAATCAATTTAGAGAAATTAATGATGGCCAACTTGGCTTCCATTTATAAGGCAAATAGATGGTTGATAACGTGGACGTCAAATTGGAATAACACATAAAGGATAACGCGGACGCCAGAAAAACACGGAAAATTACGCTAATTTAATAAACGCGCGGAAGGCGCCGGCATTACACAAGATAATATGAAAAGAAAACTAACTTCCCGAAGGCTTCAAATCAATAGAGCCGGCGACATCGGCAAAACATAATCGGAGTAACGTGAAATAATATTGCGTGAGCTGGCACGACATGATAGCGCGTCACGCTCGGAGCGCGTGAACGCAAGGGCCCAAGGCTGTGCAGAGATTTTGTCGCTAATAAGCTTAAAATAACGCAAGGAATAATCTTAGTCTACTGCGAATAATAATCTTAATCTAGTGGGAATAATATTCTTAATCTAAGGCGAACAATCTTCTTAATGTAACGCGAATAATATCTGGACGTAACTAATCAGTCGGGGTGATCCGTATTTTACCGTCATTTCTAACGCGAATAACGTCCCAACGCCAGGAGTCAATCCGCGCGAACAATATTCTCACGCAAATGATATGTCGACACGGACGATATTATCACGCAGTTATTATCCTACGTAAGGGCTCGAAAGCAAGACTCAGGCGCGAACAATACAGCAAGGCCGGTAACATCCGGACGCAATCACAGAAATAATGTCTCGGCACAACCGATACTGCGTAGATAATCTAATTGTAAGTGTCCGGACGCGAATCGCGAGCGACGTAATTACCAGCGCGAACAATCGTCTGACGCAATTAATACTATCACGCGATTAATATTCGGCCGGGTGAATTACTACGCACAACGAGACACGCGGACGTGAACGCGAAGGGCGTGAGAAATGGCGTACTCGCGATATCAAACGTCGTCATTGACGCGCTTACCGCAATCTCCAGGAGTTCATATATTTCGGTCGCGATCTCACGACCACGAGACCATTCCGGTGCCCCTCGCTTTCGCTGTCGATCGCCAAATACGCCTTGTTGGCGAATACGTTAATTATCGCAAATATTCCCGAGCGAGAGCGCTACCCGGAGAGCGGTGTCGTGGCGTGACATTGAATATTACCGAGGCAACCTCACCGTTGGTTGATTCTCTCTCGCGAGGCTCCTCGCCGTCGTCCCAAGGATCGGAAGAATAGCTGCCAGTATTCGTACGAGAAACTGTAAGTGCGACTCAAGTGCGCAATAGAGTACCGCCACGTAGGCGTGCGTGCGTCGGAAATCGAGGACGAGCCAAGAATGCTCCCGAAATTTCGCTCGATGGCGGAATCGATAGCGTACCCCTCCCCGGGCGTACGCGACCCCGCGACGCTATAGCGCGGACCAATCAGGGGTGAGCTCGCAGGCTCGCGGTGGATTCTTGCGTAGGGCCGTTAATCACGGTTTTTCGCAGGGCGCCAAACGGTCCCTCGTTCGCGCGGCGATTTTTCCAGGATCCTTCCCGATAGCGGACGGGACGTGATTGCCTCCGCGTTCCTCTTTGTCGGTCCAAAAATGGTTGCCAACCATCCCGGAATCCGGTCAGTAGGGTGAGGAGGGCAGGTGAGCTGATTTTGCCCTGGCGTCCCGGGGCCCTGCCGTTACGGATCCGCCCGCCGCTGTGTTTCGCCGCCGCGCGCGTGTCCTCTCGCGCTCCCCTGCTTTTGGCGGCCCGCAAGCACCACCGAGATCCGTTTCTCGTCGTCCGCTTCCTCGCCTCTATCCTTGTCGTCGTCTTCGTTTTTCCGTGATTCTCAGCATCGTCTCAGGAACTCCGGTTTTCGGCTCGGTGAGGCGCCGCGCAAGTGATACAAAAATAAAAAATGTAGGGATCAGAATAATTTTCGCAAATTTAATATGCCCCTGGAGATCTCGCATCGATTCATTGGACCGTCCTCAGGCGCGAAAAAGGTTGCGAAACCCGCGCGTTGTGACGGCAGCAGGACGCTGCAATGCTGCAGCGAAACTGCAACGTCACAATATATATATATATATATATATATATATATATATATATATATATATATATATCGTTGTGTAGGCAATTGTTAATAAATCAAACCTCACATACAGAAAATCACTTGCTCCGTTTATTATGTTCACAATGTTCGCTCCGTTTACACAGTTTACGCTGTTCACTCCGTTTATAATATCTTGACTACTCCACTTATATGTATATACGCCTTGACAGTATCCGACTCGACAGTCCCTCGCGAGTACTCGGATTAATTAATACCGGCAGCCCGATCTTGGTCCCTCGGATCGCGGACTCTCTGCACGGAATATCATCTCACACTGTCGCATTACTCTAAATCGGATCCTGTCGCGTCAATTTCATTCGACAGGTGGAGCCATATATCACGAATCGGCGCCTACAATACATCTACCTATAATACATCAATTCGGCGCCTACAGCTTTATCTAATTATTAATGTTATTTTATTTTTTATATTTATTATATACAGATTGGTTATTTGTGTAACAAGTGCGGGAAGTTGAGAATTGGACACGAGTGAGGAGTGGACGCACGAACCGAAGGCGAGTGCGATCACCCGCACGAGTGTCCAATTCTCAACCCGCACGTGTTACGCACCCTACTTTACATTACAAAGTGCGTGGAAAGTGGCCCATTGCGCACGCGCTATCTGTGTCACTTTCCACGCACGTGTGATATAAATATATATATATAGCTTTTTCGCCCGCAGCTCTTCCTTCTTTTCCCCGAACAGTAATATTTATCTCCAAGAAAATTTTTTTGAAAAATGGGACCTTTTTTTAGACAATTTTGTATTAGGTCCCCTTGTCCTCAGGCTCAGACCCCTTCCCAAAACCCTCTACGGTCTAAGTTAGAGTATCATGAGATAGTATAATTTAGTTGTTCTAATATATGGCGGAGTTCACACCTCTCCCTCAGGGGGGAACCGACAAGGGACTACCCACTGGGGAGGAGATGGAACAGCCTTCAGCAATGGAGGTGGAAGAGGAGATAAGAAGTACCTACGATGAGGTACAGAAAGAAATCGCGAAGAGCGGAATGCCAGCAGCAGTGCGCCCGACCGTACAGGGCAAGAGAAAGATTATTGATCCTGCGGTGCCCGCAAAATCTAGCGAGAACAGTGAGAAACCCCCAAAGAAGGTTGAGGGTTCCACAATGGAGGATCGTCTAGCACGAATGCTAATCAAGTGCGTAGTAGTAAAGGAGCACAAAAGGCTAAATGGGGATTTACTCGAGCGTCGTAGGAACCTATTGGATTTTGAAGATTAGATGATAGAAAGAAAAAAAGGTTATATAATCTACACCCTTTCACCGGTGGGGGAAGCGTCTACAGGTTTTCAAAAATGTAAAAAAAAAATAGTCACATGAAAATACTCGAGCGCGTCAGATATTGATAGTGTATATGCCCCACGTGTCTCTGACATTGGAGGTATAGCCCAGTCAATATAGACTTTTAAATGGAATTAATTCCGGGAAGCAATTTTTTTTTTTTGACTGTTTTGGAGGGTCATGAGTAGTCTAAAACCGGATTTTCGAGATCCTAACCCTGGAGCGTTAGCCGCCATTTTGATTAGAAGAGTGATTTTGTAAATATCTCGCTTATTTTCAACTTTAGAGTGAAAATGTAATAACCAAACTTGTAGAAAATTTAATACTCTACAATTTTGGTCCTTTTCATTTTTCACCTAGGATCGATATTTTGGGTCTTAAACTCAAAAGTAAGGGGTGAAATTTTTTTTATTTTTTGAATTTACTTGGTATAATGAAAAACATCTTTTCCACACCACCACGGAGGTAGAGTTTATGGCGCGTTTATTCAAAGAATTAAAAAAAAATAATAAAATTTTACCCCCCACTTTCAAATCTAAGACCCAAAATATCGATCCTAGGTAAAAAATGATAAGGACCAAATTTGTAGAGTACTAAATTTTCTACAAGTTTGGTTATTACCACTTTCACTCTAAAGTTGAAAATAAGCGAGATATTTACAAAATCACCCTTCTAATCAAAATGGCGGCTAACGCTCCAGGGTTAGGATCCCGAAAATCCGGTTTTAGACTACCCATGACCCTCCAAAACAATAAAAAAAAAAAAAATCGCTTCCCGGAATTAAATCCATTTCAGCGGCTTTTTCGGGCTATATTGACTGGGCTAGTATGTTAATCTGCCGGTTTGCATGGTGAGGGTGGCTGTACGGAAAGGTTGAAAACGGAAAAAAGAATTTTATTCGAGCGCGTCAGATATTCAGAGGGGATGTTAAGTGAACCCGAAAGAAGCTCCCATTCAAAAGATTGACGATTCGGACATGACACAAGCTCATAGCGGCTTCTTAATAATGCAAAAAAAATCGCTATTTTGAAATACTCGAGCGCGTCAGATCATTATACAGGTGATTCAGCTTGATGTCCTAGTCGTGCTGACCCATAATCTGACGATTATTTGGAGAAATTTTATTAATCTGACGAATTAAAAAAAAAATTTTTTTTTAATTACTAAATGTAACAAATAAAATGCATGAAAAATAGAATGCAAATAAAAAAATCTATTTCTTTCAATTATAATATATACATAAAAAATCGAAGTCTCGTTCAAAGTTGCTTGATACTCCCGCTCTGAAAATATTTTCCCAATAAGAAACCTGATATTTAATAACATGAAACTGAATTTATAGCATTAAAAAACAGTTCTTTTAAGCATTTTATAACGATTTTAACAATTTTTTTATATAAAATATATTTTATAATGTTTCTTAAAAATAATAATTTCTTTTATTCTAAGAATTATATTAAATAACATTAAAAATTTATTTTTAATATTTAAAAAAATTTTTATTTTTTATGTTAAGATATAAAAAAAAAATATTCACAACATTTCATTATTTTATCATCAGTCGCGTTTGATAAGAATGTACCGTAAAATTTTTGCATTAAGTTTCCGGGAAACCCACTATTAATACAATAAAAAAATAAAGAGCTTTTAAAAGTAAAAATAATATATTATAAGTGAGCATTTACTCGTCTGTCGATGTACCAGCACCCTGAGTTGTCGTGGAAGTAACAGGAACATACGATTCGGAACTCTCCCCAGAAACTTCCGGTGCATTATCGCATTCCGCTGCACTTTCCTGTTGCTCGAGATTTGGAAAATTATAAGGTACTTTAATCGCTGTGAATAACTTATAACACTGCGCGTGATATCCTTCATTTAATGAATTTTTAGCCGAAAGTTCAACATTATCGTACGTTGTTTGTGATTTCCTGAGGACCGGTTTGCTCCGACGATACTCCAAAACCGTAAGGCATTTTTTTATTGTCATTGATGTAAATTTCACAATTTTTTCAAGTTTATTTTGTCCACAGAGGCGCGGAGTGAGGAATACATGCTTCACTGCAGCTGTACGCACTAAACTTTTCTGACGATTTGTGCTACTTCGGCTTGTGAAAATCGGCAGATTATATTTTTTCCGTTATTCTTGAATTATTTCCTTCAAAATAAAAAAGAATTCGACCGCGCTCGAGAATGTCAAAGTGACGTTTTTTTTTGCAAGTTTGTGATTCTCTCACTCCCTTACGTCACGCTCAAATTGTCAGATTATTAAAATGCACACTTTTCAGCATGTTATTAACTCACCTTACCTTAATCTGACGCGCTCGAGTATTTCTAACGATCAATTTTTTTTTTACTATTCTGATCGGCTGCCTTAGACGCGTGATCCTATATTAAGAGCTTATATATAGTAAAAGTACTCAACAGGGTGCAAGGTATCCTCCTATCTGTCGCGCTCGAGTAAATCCTAAAATCCCCTATTGGCTTTTTTACTGTAGAGGACAAAATGAGGGTGATGGAGGAAGGCGTTGTAAAGAGGCTGGCCCTTCAGTTAGGCAAGGGAGAAGAGGGAGACACGAAGGCTCTTCCTCAAAAAACCTCTGCGAACAAAGATGAGAAGGCCCAGGAGATCGCAAAGAGAAGCGGGAGGGCCGGTAGGAAAAAGATCTCGCTAGCGAGGAAGGAAGCGACGGACGGGATCTCTTCCCAGACGAGGAAAGGGCCAGAGGGACAGAAGGGTGCGGTCTCAAAGGCCCAAATGGAGAAAGGAGGGATTCCAGCCAATCATCAGTCCACTAAGCCACTGTGGACACAGGTAGTCGGAAAGAAGGCCGGACAGGAGAATAATAAAGGAAAGGGAGGAACGGCGAAGCCAGGGCCGAGCGGGGCAAAGAAGGATAATACTTCTCCTCAACAGCAGCAAAGAGAAAGGTCCCGAAGACCGCAGCGGTTACCTTCACGTGTCCCAAGGAGACATACGCCGAGTGTATGGGGCTCGTGAGGGAGAAGATAAAGCTTCAGGACTTGGGGATTGAGAAACCCCTAAATGTGCGTAAGACGGTAACGGGAACCCTAAGCCTGGAGGTGGCCGGACAAGGAAACGCAGCCAAGGCATCTGCCTTGGCTGCGAAAATGTCAGAAGTTCTGGCAGAAAAGGAGGGAGTCAGGGTGGCTCGACCGACACTGACGGCGGAGTTACGCATTAGTAACTTTGAAGAATCCGTCGGTGAAGATGAAATCAGGGCCACCCTGGCGGCGAAAGGCGGCACCCTCCCGGCAAGCGTGACGCTGGGACAGGTGCGCAAAACGCCCAACGGTTTGTGCATCGTTTTTGCAAAGTGCCCACTGGCGGCAGCTAACACGCTGGCCAGAGAGAGGAAGATGGCACTGGGGTGGGCGAACGCCAAAGTGGAGTTGTTGGAAAAACGCCCGCTCCAGTGCTATCGGTGCCAGGAGACTGGGCACACTAGGGCTACGTGCCAAAGTGAGGTCGACCGCACCGGAGCATGCTACCGGTGCGGTCAAACAGGTCATCCGGCCAGAGTGTGCACGGCTCCCTTTAGGTGCAATGTGTGTGCCAATAGGGGGCTGCCGAGCGACCATCGAGTAAGAGGAAAATTCTGCTCAAGTGGGAAAAGGGCTCAAAAGAAGGGAGCAACGAAGGCCGCGGGACCCGATAGTGGGAAGGCCGTGGCTAAGAAAGAAGGGACAGAGCAAAGGGAAAACCCGGAACCTCAGAAACAATTAAGGGTAAAACAAAACCCATAATTGTCGGGAACGAGATCGTGATCGGCCTCAATTTAAAGAAAGTCGATCGCCGAACTGGCAACCCAGGGACCTTCAAAAACACGGAGGACATGGAGATAGAGAAGGAGGAGAAAGAAGAAGGGGTGGATTCCTCTAGAATAAACCATGGAACAGTGGAACCTATGGACGTAGATGAAACCGCGAATGCGGACAAATCAAAGAAGGTGGAGAGAGAGAACTCCGACGGGACCATATAAAATGTCCCTACAAGTCCTTCAAGGAAACCTAAACCACGCCCGCGCTGCACAGGACATGTTCGTGCACACCCTGGCAGAGCGCGGATGTGGCCTTGGAATTGCGACGGAGCCCTACAGGGTCCCAGCAGACCATCCCTGCTAGGCCGTGGACCGTGGTGGCTTTGTCGCATTGGTATGGAGGACGCTGCCACAATCCCCGCCGTGTACGCCGTTGGAGGCCGGCGAGGGATTTGTGGCAGTAAAATGGGGGCTTATCTTCGTAGGAGTATATGCCCCTCCGAGGTGGGACCTGGCCAGGTACAAACAGATGCTCTATGAGCTGGAAGTGTGCGTTAGAAAACGCTTGCCTGGTCGGGTCATGGTGGCGGGGGGCTTCAACGCGAAGTTTACGCTATGAGGTTCCCCGCGCACCGATGGTAGGGGCAAGGCTTTAGTTAGATGGGCGACGGGTCTCGGCCTGATGCTTCTAAACACGGGCTGAAAGAGCACATTCGTAAGCCGGCGGGGGACGTCTATAATCAATTTGACATGGGCCAATCCCCCTGCCGGACGCGAGGTGAGCGATTGGAGGGTGGTCACAAGCCAAGAAACAATGAGCAATCATCTCTACATAGAGATGACGGTCCGGGCCACTCCTCCGAAGTTTCTCACCCGCCGCCGCAAACTAGAGAAGAGGAAACGGAGATGGGCCCTCAAAAAGATAGATAGGGACTTATTTGAGGCTGCGATCCTAGAATTGTCATGGAGAGACAACGGCTCAGAGGAGATGGGGGACGTGGACGAGGCAGCAAAGGGGCTGATAAGGGTCATGCGCGCGCCTGCGACGTGGCCATGCCCCGGTTGCGCAGGCTTCCCCCCCCCCCCCCCCCGAAGAGCTGCCTACTGGTGGACAGAGAAGATAGCCGAGCTCAGGCGCTCCTTCGTCCACTGCAGAAGGAGATGGCAAAGGGTGCGCACGGGTAGGCGCGACGCCCTGGAAAAAGAGGAAGCGGGAAAGGCCTTGCGTGCTGCCCGCCAGGATCTCTCCCGAGCAATTTTCGCGGCCAAGGAAAAGGCATGGAAGGAGCTCCTCGCAAGCGTAGATGAGGATTCATGGGGGCGCCCGTATAAATTGGTTCAGAATAAACTGAGACCATGGGTGCCCCCGCTAACGAACATACTCGACCCCCATTTTGTTGAAACGATCGTGGGAACGTTGTTCCCCATCAGAGATGGAGGGCAAGTCCTATTCCCGGGTTTGCCGCCCTGGGAGTGGGACGAGGAAATGGGAGTCAGTGAAGAGGAGCTCGCGAGGGCTCTCCGCAGGGTCAGGAGAGGCAAGGCTCCTGGCCCTGACGGAATACCGGGAAGAGCCTGGAACTTGGCCGCGGGAGGACTGGCCGGCAAAATGCGCAAGGTATACACGGCGTGTCTGCGCGCCGGTCGGTTCCCCAGTATATGGAGGGAGGCCAGTCTTGAGCTCCTGCACAAAGCCGGAAAGCCGGCGGATTCCCCGTTCGCATATAGGCCCGTGTGCCTGCTGGATGAAGCGGCAAAATATTCGAAAGAATAATTGCCGAACCGTCCGGATGAGAGAACGTCCACCTCGATGGGAGAAAAGGAGGTGGTCTTTCGGACGACCAGTTTGGTTTCCGTGCGGGTCAATCAACGATCGACGCAATCAAGCGCGTCCTTGCCCGCACGGAGGCCGAGTTGGAGGCGGGGAGGGTGGTGATGGGTGTTTTTTACGACGTGAGGAACGCCTTTAACTCCCTTCCCTGGCTGGTAATAGGGAAGGCGCTCGTAGACTTTGGCGTCTCTCCCTATCTAATCGAGGTCGTCCGCGACTATCTCCTGGGAAGAGGATTTACGTACGCGGACCAGGACGGGGTCCTGAGGACTAGGTTCATGGGCTGCGAAGTTCTCCAGGGATCCATACTGGGGCCGCTATTGTGGATCATTGCCTATGACTTGGTCCTCAAGGTAGCCCTTCCCGACAATTGCTGGCTCTCGGGATACGCCGATGACGTATACCTGGGGGTCAGCGGGGAGGGCTGGCAAAAGCTGAAAAGACTGGCCGACGTGGCAGCGGCTTGCGTGGTGCGCTTCATTGAGAGGCTGGGATTAGAGGTGGCCCCACAGAAGACGCAAGTAACTGTGTTTTACGATCGCATGGCGTCGGGGCCGCTTCCGGAAGGGCTCAGCCTCCACATAGGAGGTATAGAAATCCCGACCACCTCTTTCACGAAGTACCTAGAAATGTGGCTGGACGGCACAAGAAGCTTCGGCGAGCACGTCGCTCGCGTGGCTCCGCGGGTCGAGATAGTGACCAATAACTTGGCCCGGCTACTGCCGAATATAGGCGGAGCCAGCGGCGGCGCGCGTCGCCTCTACGTCGCGACGGTCCACTCGGTGCTGCTTTACGCAGCACTGATATGGTAGGAAAAGGTGGGCAGAAGCGTCCACCTTAGTAAGCGGATGGTGGCGGCCCAGCGCACGATTGCGAACAGGGCCGCCAGAGCCTACCGGACCGTCTCGCACGTGGGAGCGACAATCCTCGCCGGGGTTCCCCCAGTCAATCTGATTGCCGAGTCGTACGCGAAGCGGTACGACGACACCAAGGCGGTTAAGGCACGACTGGGGATCGTCACCGTCCCGGCGAGGATAAAAGAGGCGCTGAGGCTTCGCGCTGCAGAGACCCTCCTTCAAAGATGGAAGACTTTTTTGGAAAACCCAACATTGATGGGGAGGAGGGTCAGAGAGACCGTCCAGCCGGTACTCGAGAGGTGAGTGGAGCGTAAGATGAATAAGAATCTTACGTTCCACGCGTCACAGATAATAACAGGCCATGGCTGTTTTGGCTATTATCTGTGGCGCATCGGGAAGGAGCGCACCACGCGCTGCCACTATTGCCCGGAGGAGGCGGACACGGCGCAGCACACTTTAGAATTCTGCCCGGAATGGGAGAATGAACGCCGTGTCCTCCGGGAAACCATGGAAAAGAGGGTGGAGGAAGCGAAAAGCAGA